ACCTCCTAAATGATTGCCAGATTTTCATTTATTAAGCTGGGGAAGTTTTCCTGTAAGAATTCCCTCACTATTTTGGCTGTTGACTGCTTTGTTGTGTCTTGTACTGGTAGTCCAATTATTCTAATATTGTTCCTCTTCATCACATCAGGCATGGCGCTCAGGTTTCCCTCAGCTTCTTTGATTGTTTTATCTGACTGCTTTTCCCGTTTGTTGAGGTCTGATTGGTTATCCCCAAGGCACTAGTGCAATTCTCAGCCTCCTCAAGTCTGTTGGCCTAGTCTGTGAATTTTCCACTGGATTTTGTTATTTCATCCCTTAGGTCTTGTATTTCTCATTGGTGCGTTGCCTTTATCTCCTCTATCATTTCATCCTTTTTCTGTATTGCTTCCCTCATATCCTGTATGACTGTAAGCAGCATTCTGAGGATTTCTTTCTGTGGCAGGTCAATGTATCCTTCTATGCACGTCGTTAGGTTCATGATTTCTTCTGACATTGTCTTCTGTTTCTCCTGCTTTTTCGTTGAGGTTGTTGGGGCTGGTTTCTGTTTACATGTTGTTTTAGAGAAACCCGGCGCCATATTCCAGAGTTGAAGAGCACTGGACTCACTCTTGGGGTAACTCATATGAGTGCTTCTTTTGAACTATCTTCAGGTAGCTTCACTAGGAATTCAGGCTACTGCTGTATATTCCTGTGGTTTCACTCTTGCCCTAGCAGACCATTATTCCGTTATTTGGAATGTAAGTTGGATAGTCCTCTCACAGGACGCTGGTTGGGTGGTTGTGGGCCTACGAGGATGGCATTTCACTGGATGATCTGTCAATAAACCATAGTGGTATGTCTCATGGTGCTTGGAGCACCTCAGGTGGCTTGTAGTGTTTCCTTCTCCAACTGGAGTGCTGCGGAGGGTGTGTGGGTGTACCCTCCTTGGTGTAGAGCACCGTGGATAGCATTCTGAATTACCCTGGTCAGAGAGATCACAGTGTAAGTTGGGGGGATATTCCCACAGCAGCGTAGAGCAGCACAAATGGCGGGCAGGAGTTCCCCCAGTCACTTGTAGGGTCTTAGGGTATGAGAGGGAGTTTCCCCAGCTGTTTGAAGGGGAGAGCCCCCAGCCTTTTTGGGGTGTAGTGGAAGGCGAGTGTGAATTCCCCATCTTCATGTAAAGCCAACAAGTGCAGGCAAGAGCTCTCACAACTGGACAGCCAGAGTTGCCCTAGGCAAAGCAGAGTTCCCTGGAGGCCAGTAGTGGCTTGTGAAAGGAATGAGAGGGAGAAGAGAAGAAAAAGAATGGAGAAAACAGACAATAGAAAAAATAAAAAGCAAACTAACACACACACACACACACACACACACACACACACACACACACAAAGCAAACACAAAACAAAAACAAAGAGGCCAAAAAAGAAAAACTGAATCTGCTGAGACTGTGGTGGGAAATAGAGAAGAGATAAAATAAGAGGAAAAAAAGAAAATGTGAAAGAAGAAAGAAAGAAAAAATAGATAAAGAGATACCTGAGCCCTGTGCTGTGCTGTGTGTAGCACTGGAGTTCTCCCTGCTGTTTGGGCAGAGTTGCCCTAGGTGGAGGGTAGTGGCCAGGCAGTTAGCAGTGGAGTGTGAAAGGAAAGAGAGGGAGAAAAAAGGAAAAAGAGAGAAAAGGAGAGAGAAACAACCAGGCCTGCTGAGACTAACTGCAGTGGAAATAGAGAAGGGAGAGAGAATAAAGAAAAAGAATAGTAAGTAAGGAGATAGCTGAGCCTGACCGGCAGACCATGGGACTGGAGGAGTTCCAATCCTGCCTCAAGGTAGCAGAGTGGTGTGCCCGTTTGGTTTAGGTTTCCACAGGTGCTGTGCGGAATTACCCTCATAGGCAAGAGCACGGTGGAGGCCAGGCAGTGGTTCCCACAGCCATGTGGAGTGCTGGAGATTGCTGGTATAGCTGCCTTGTGTGGTAGGCAGCACTGCAGCAGATGGGGGAAAGCTCCCTCAGCCACGTGTAGGGTCCCAGGACAGGCAGGGGATCCCCCAGCCACACGAAGCACAGGCAGGACCTCCCCAGCTGCATGTAGAATCACTGAGGGCAGACAGTAGCTCCTCACCAGTGTGCTTGCAGAGTTATCCTAGCTTGTGCCAAGACCACTGATGCTCCAATAGCTCAGCGTTGTTTGTTTTTGCCCTCAGGCCAACTGGAATTGAATTAAATTAATTGGTCCCCTGGCTATGGGCTCTGAGTTTGTGCTCAGTGAAGTTATTCTGAAACTGAAGCTTACTCCAGAGGCTCTTTGTTATGTTGAAAGTCTCCGGGCTCTGTAGCTAACTTCTGGCACAGCTTAGCACTGGCTCTTTTATTGTGCTAACGTATGTTAAAGGATCTGTTCTGCCAGTTTGTCTTGGAGTTAAACACTGAGCCTGGGATTTGCAGTTTTTGCCGAGAAAACATTTTCTCGCTTTTTTATATTGGGCTTGTGTGGTGCCCTGATTTCGGGGCTGTCACGCTGACCCCCGGAAGGAGATCTAGCTTATCAGAGAGGTTGTTTTCTTCTGTGCCAACTGGAACTGAATTCACCCCCACCCACACCACACCCCCGGCTATAGCTACCTGCTTATGCTCTGCCACGCTGTGATCTGACTCAGGTAAATTTCCTGACATCTTTTCAATTGCTCCAAATCTATGGCTACTCACGCAGACCCTGACCCTTAGGCTATGAGCGCAAGGTAGCTAACAGCGTAGGGAGCTCTGGTGTGGGGGTTTTGTGACTAGCTTTCAGAGGTTCTTTTCAAGTCTGGAATTAAGACCCCTTTTTTATTGCTGTACGTGGGAGCTGGCAGAAGTTTTGTCCAGAGCCCATGAGCCCATGAGCCCAGCAGAATGAACCTAGAGCTTTTCAGTGCTTTCTCGGTTCGTTTTGTGGGTGAAAATTTTAAAAAAGCAGGGGTCGGGACAGACCCTAGTACCCTGATTCTAATTTTAAGACTCTGCCTCCCAGTCTCCTTCACATTACCTTTTAATTTTCTAGTCCGGCAGCAGGAGCTCAGGGAGGGTAAATCTACCTGGATACCATCTTTCTTTGTAGTCGTTTTTTGCAGTTCTCTTTTTATATGTCTTTTGTATCTCTGGTCAGATTCACTCCTATATCTAATCTTCTGGGTGGCTGCTGTAAATGGCATTGTTTTCCTGATTTCCTTTTCAGTGCTATTTGTTGGGGCAGGGGACCCTGATTGATTTTTGTATGTTGATCTTGTACCCTGACACTTTGCTGAATCAATTACCTTCAGTTAATTTCCCTGCAGAGTCTTCTATGCCCAGGATCATATCATCTGCAAATAGCGAATGTTTTACTTCTCCTTTGCCAATTTGGATGCCTGTTATTTCCTTTTCTTGCCTTATTGCTCTGGTGAGGATTCCCAATACAAGATTGAATGGGTATGGTGATGAATGGCATTCTTTTCTAGTTCCCTCTGAGCAATATGTTTGCACTTTTTGTTGTGGTTCTTCATTGCCCTCTTCTGTATTTCATTGAAATTCTGTGGTTTATTATTTTTTTATTGTAGTGTGATTTCCTATTCGCTATATAATTTACGCAGTTATTTTCTTAATAGGTACTCTTGAGGTTATAATTTTATAATTACTTTGAATTTATACCAATTTAGCTTCAATGATGAACAGAAAACTCTGCTCTTATACACTTATATCTCTTCCTCTTCCTGCAATTATTATCACAATGGACTTATTTATATATTATTTGCCCATGAACATAGATTTAAAACTACCCTGTTTTTAAAAAAAAAATCATTTTATTGAGGGCTCTTTCATCTCTTATAACATTCCAGACATCAATTGCATCATGCATATTTGTACGTATGTTGCCATCATCATTTCCAAAACATTTTCTATTTGAGCACTTGTTATAAACACCTCCTTTTCCCCTCCATCCTCCACCTTCCCACCCTCATAAATCCTTGATCAATTATATAATGTTATTGTTATGTCATATCTTACACTATCCGTTGTCTCCTTTCACCCACATTTCTATTATCCAATCCCTTCAGGGGTTGAGGCTATATATCCAACCTTGTGATGGGTTACTCCTTTCTCCCTCTTCTCCCTCCCCTATGCTCATGATATCGCTACTCTCACTACTGTTCCTGAGAAGCTTATCTGTCCTGAATTCCATGTGTTGAGAGATCTTATCTGTACCCATGTATATTCTCTGGTCTAGCCAGATTTGTAAGGTAGAACTGGGTAGCGGAGGGGGGGAGCAAGCATTCAGGAACTAGAGGAATTTTGTGTGTTTCATCAGTGCTATACTGCACCTTGGTTGAATCATCCCTTCCTTATAACCCTTCTGTGAGGGAATAACCAATTGTCTACAGATGGGATTTGGGTCTTCACTCCAAACCCCCTTTTCTCATCAATATAGTTGTTTGTTTTATCTTTTGATACCTGATACCTGATCCCGTCAACATCTCATGATCACATAGGCTGGTGTGGTTCTTCCATGTGGGCTTATTTGCTTCCCTGTTGGATGGCTGCTTATTCAACTTAAAGCCTTTAAGACCCCAATTGCTATGTCTTTTGATAACCAGGCACCATCCACTCTCTTCACCACATTTGCTTATGCACCCATTTTGTCTTCAGTGATCATGTCGGGAAGGTGAATATTAAAGAGTGCCAGGTTATTAGAACAAAGTGTCCTTGTGTTAAGGGAGGCCTTGAGTAGAGGCCCAAATTCCATCTGCTATCTTAATACTTAACATATACATTCATGTACATTGGTCTCTATCCCTTTCATTTTAAATTAGTATATTTACATATATATATATGCCTTTATCTACCAAAGTGTGCTGCTCTTACTACTCCTGGGTTGGCAGTTCCTTGCAAAAGTCTAAAATTTGACTTCAACCAATGATGAGGTATGTGTGATGAGAATTTTCTGAGATAGCTTCTGGTACCCTTGTCTGATATATTTACATTATATATTTCTAGAACCCTGAATCCATGGCGAAAAGCAATCTAACGAGCACCTCGGAATTCCTTCTTCTGGGACTGTCAGAGGTGCCTGAGCATCAGCCCCTTCTCTTCAGCCTGTTCCTGTCCATGTATCTGATTGCTGTGATGGGGAACCTGCTCATCATTTTGGCCATCAGCTGTACTCCCCAGCTCCATACCCCTATGTACTTCTTCGTAGCCAATCTGTCTTGTGTGGACATATGTTTCACCTCTGTCACAATACCAAAGATGCTCCTAAACATCCAAACCAAGAAGCAATCCATCCCATATGTTGGATGCCTCACTCAGATGTATTTTCTCATTTTGTTTCTAGAACTGGACAATATCCTCTTGGCAGTAATGGCATATGATAGATTTATAGCCATATGTCGCCCTCTTCACTATGCCAGAACCATGAGTCCCAAATTCTGTATCACATCATTGTCTGTGGCTCTGATCATCACCAACATCTATCCCTTGATCCACACTCTCCTGATGGATACACTGTCATTCTGTGCAAGTGTCAGAATTCACCATATTTTCTGTGAGCTGTATGCATTGCTGAAACTTTCTTGTTCAGACATCCACATCAATGAATTGGTTGTGTATACCCTCGGAAGTTTTCTTTTTGTCACTCCCTTCTTGTTCATTTTCCTTTCATACATGCACATTTTCTCAGCCATCTTAAGACTACATTCTTCCCAGAGTAAGCTGAAAGCCTTTTCTACTTGTAGTTCCCACCTGGCAGTGGTGTCCTTGTTCTATGGAACTCTATTTGGAGTGTATCTGCAGCCTTCTTCTTCCTACACAACTGAGGACTCAGTAGCCACAGTGCTGTATGCAGTGGTAGCACCCATGCTTAACCCGTTCATCTATAGCCTAAGGAATAAAGACATGAAAGGGGCCCTGAAGAACCTCCTCAAATGGAAGAAAGTTTCCAATTGGTGACAATGACTCCTGCATCTGAGAAACGATGCTTGCTCTTTTTCTACCCATCATATGAGGTCTGATTGTTCATGAACAGAATGTGACAGGTTTCCAGCTTGATGTGCATTCCTGTTGTTATCTCCTTCACCCATTCATTCAAGCAACATCTCTGAGCAACTCCCATGTGACAGGACCTGGGGAGATAGGTTGTTTGTCTGAGATGCAAATTTCAATGCACTCCATACGGCCTTCATAGTCCCTCTCAAACCAGGCTCATGGATTTTTACCATGGACCTCTGTTCCTAACACGAACCATAACCAATTATTGAATATAGTACTATGTACTGGTCTCTCTTTGGAGTGAGTAAAGGTATTCACTCATTCAATATAAAAACCCTCTCATGAAGGAGAAACTGTTATCCTCATTTTCTAGATGAGGATATGAAGGCTCAGAGAAGTGATGGTATTCTCACCTTCTGCTCTTTGAGGCAATACAGAAAAAGGTGTTCACACAAAATCTGTGATTCAGATTGAATGTAGTGCAGTTCCAAACCACCAGCCGCTCTGAGGGACAAAGGCAAGGCTTTCTACTCCCATAAAGAATTACAGCCCGGAAACCCTCTGGGGCACTACCTTGCCCTTTAGGGTCACAATGAGTCAGAGTCAACTCCATGTCAGGAGTTTGCTTTTCAATTGTTTGATTTTGTCATCAGGTGGCATAGGTCATGACTTCATGCCACAAATCACTGCTATTGTAATCCTAGTGAGAAAAAATATAGGTGCTCATGTGTGAGTCATGATCTACCAATGTCATTTTTAAAAAGAAATTCCCAGATAGCACGCATTCACTACCATTTCTAAACCCACTCATCCACTGGCTTTAAATTGGTTGTGACTCACAGTGACCCTAAAGGACAGAGTTGAACTGCTTCGTAAGGTTTCTGAGACCATAAATGTTATGGGAGCAGACTACCCCCATATGTTTCCCCTTGAAGCAGCTGGTGGGTTTTAATCACCCATCTTACTGTGAGTAGCCTAATGCTTAAACCCACTGTGCCACCAGGTCTCTTTCCACCATTTCTCATTCACTTCCATTGAGTTGATTCTGACTCATCCAGACCCTATGGGAGTAGAAAGCCTAGTCTTTCTTTTGAGGTGGTTTCAAACTACTGATCTTGTGACTAGAAGCCCAGCTCATAACCACTATGCAACCAGAGATCCTTCGGTGGAAGGACTTCTTGACAAATACAAATGGTCATAATAACTAGACTGTAGCAATGTATTTTCCTGGAATAACCATAACAAGAACTACACATGCTCTTCTAAATGATGCTCTTGACAGCCTCTTACTGAGAAGGATGGTCTGTACTCCCTCCCCTTGAATATGAGTGGACTTGTGACTGCTTCAGCAAAGGAGGATAGTGAAAGTGATACTGTCTATCTTCAGGCTGAATCACAGTAGATAGATTCTAGTTTGTTGACTGACATAAGTGAGCTCCATGAGACCTGGGCTTTTGTTTGTTTTGCTGAACTTGGATTAACAGGTGTTCAGTAAACATGAGTTGAATGAACGAATTAAAGACTGTTATTTACCACATTATAATTCATTTCTAAACCAATTGATCCATTTTATTGATAAATTGATGAGTGAATGAGAGTGAGTAGATATCTGTCATAACTGGTTTTTCATTTTTGTTCCTTTTTATAAAGATTATTTACAACACCCATCCAATTGAAAAGTCTGCTAAGAATGTGAACAGATATTTACAGGAGAAAATACAAATGGTTCCTAAAAATTAAAAAAAAAGATGGTCAACTACAAACACAATTTGATAAATACTAGTTAAACCCATATTGGGGTTCTATTTCTCAGCTATCAGAAACAAAAACCTTAAAAAAGCATTGTGACTAAAATAGGATGCAGAGCTTTGTAGTCACGATTTGCTTTTAATCTTCATGAACTCAGTAATTGTGATATTATTTTTCTCTTCCACTGACATGAAACTCCTTTTTTAAAAAAAAAACACTTTAATGTGAATTTGGGTTAAAGTTTACAGAGCACATCAGTTTTCTATTCAACAATTTATACATGTTTGTTTCTTATCATTAAATCCCCACAATGCTGCATCACTTATATAACTCTCTCTGTTTTCTGTTTCCATTCCTCCTTCATTTCGAATCCTTCTGGACTTTGTCTTTGAAGAAAATGTTGCCGATTTTGTCCGAACTGATAGATGATTCTAAGGAGGGTGTACCTCCCTACTGTTACTGCTGCCCTCAGAGATCTGTCTATTGTTTATCTGAAAATTGAGCCTTGGGGTTAAGTTCCAGACCCAAAAGTTTAATAAGGGCCATATTCTTGGGGGTTCCACCGGTCTTAATCTGATCTTTAAGCCTTATCATTCTTATGATTTGGGGCTTTGCTCCACACTTTTCTCCTACCCTATCCAAGACCTTCTAATGTGACTCCTTTCAGAGTCATTGACTTTAATAACTGGGTATCATCTAGCTCATGTGGTCTCAGCGTCATGCAGAGTGATGTTCGCATGATCCATGAGTACATTGATTAATTGTAAAATTCATTTATAAGAAACTCACAAAGCCCTGATACTGAAGGACCTCAAAAACAAACATAAGGAAGGGGAAAAAGAGGAGCTGATACCAAGGGCTCAATAGAAAGAAAATGTTTAGAAAATAATGATGGCAACATATGTACAAATATGCTTGATATAATAGATATATGGATTGTTATAAGAGCTGTAAGAGCCCCCAATAAAATGATCTTTTAATTAAAAAAAGAAAGAAACCTGTAAGATGTGGCTGAAGTCACAGTCATGAGACACATATCAACCTTGAATTGATTAATTAATAAATGATTGAAAATAATTAAACTAATATTTCAACTCAAGAAGCTAGAAAAGTAACAATAATAGCATTACAAAAAATAAAACACATGAGGGGGGTCGTAAATATTAATACAACAAGCGTTACAACCCCCCGTAGAATAGGCTAATGTAACCAAGAGCTGTGGTTTGGAATTTTTATCAGCGATTAATATTGTTACTCCTGTTTTTTTGATAGTTGTTGATGTTTTTCACCATCCTTTGATTTTCAGTCTATTTTTAACTTTGAGGTTAAGGTGTGTCCCTTGTAGACAGCATATCAATTGGTCTTGTTCTCTAATCCAGTCTGTTGCTCTCTATTTTTTGATTGGTGCATTTAATCTGTTGACTTTTGGGGTCATTAATAATATATGCAGATTTGTTGCTGTCATCTTGATGTATTTGCGTTTAGTTTCTCTTCACTTTTTGAGGTTTAATGAGTGTGTTTGTTTTTCCTCTACCTCTTTGCTGTTTTGAGCACTGCTTTCATTATTTTGGTTTCTGGGTGGTGACATCATGTCTGATACTCTCAGGTTTGTCTGCTGTTGGTTTATTCTACTTTCATAGTTATCCAGCTAATATTTTTTGTAATATTCGTCTGGTTTTTATGAATTATTTTGGTTTTTCCTTGTCTGGAAATAATTTGATTTCTCCCTCTTATATAAGGGATAATTTTACTTGATATAGGATCCTTGTTTGTCAGTTTTGGGGTTTTGTTTGTTTTGCTTTCTGAATTGTATGCATGTCACTCCATCATCTTCTTGCCTGTGTCATTTCTGCTGAGAAATCCGAGCTTATCCTTATTGGTTTTCCTTGCTAGGTGACTAGTCTTTTTTCCCTAGGTGACCTCAGAATGTTCTCCTTTTTCTTGAAATCAAATAGTTTGACAGAAATGTGTCATGATATCTTTCTTTTGAGGTCTATCGTATTGGAGATTCTGTCAGCTCCTTGAATAGTTATTTTCTCCTCTTTTATGATGGGAGATTTTCTTCTACGATTTCTCATGCTCTTTTCCTTGCAGATTTTTGTTTGTTTGTTTCTTTCATCATGTTCTGGAATCCTGAGGAGAGGTAGGTTGTTTTTCTTGATAGTGTCTCACATCATTCTCAGGCTATCTTTTGATTCATTTACTCCCCTCCCCCTTTGGTTAATTATTTCTCTCATTGATTGTAATTAGAGTGATTATCTTTGAGTGCATTGATTAGATTTTCCTTTTCTTCCATTCCACTTCTCAGGTCTTTTACTATGTTGGCTAGTTCTGTTATCTCATTGTCTTCTAGGATTCTTTTTTGTTGTTTTGTTTTAGGATTTCAGTGTTTTGATTTCTTCCATTGTTCTCATGAGTGTTCCCCATATCTCTTGAAATGACCTAAACATCATTCTTCTGAATTCTTTTTCTGGTAGTTGCAGGGCCTCTTCTTCAGAGTACGCCATTGAGTTGGGGTGATTTTCAGTGGCTTGCGTTTGCTTTTCTTGATTTCGTTTTTGCTTTCCTCTGGTTTACTGCTGTTCCCTAGGCCTCATCATACAACTCTTGGTGGTTTGTGAGCTTCTGGGTCATATAGAGGTCTAATGACATGGGTGAGGTCTAATAGGAGCTGAAAAACATGATAGTGAAATAGAGATAAGGGGGGAAATGACTAAGTGGATAAAGTTGGGGGAATAAGAGATAAAAAATAAAAGTAATGATAGTAATATAGGCAGCTGTCTGGATAGGCCAACATAATTGTAAAAATAATATGAAAAAAAAACATTTTAAGAGGGGTCATCAGAATTAAGATATTTCATGGAAATATAATTCACTAGGTAAACGAGCGCAGAAAGATAATGGGTTGATGTGCATGGAAAAAGAGGGACAAAAGAGTCAAAGGACTCAGGTATGGCTTTGTTGTGGGTACTGATCTTATGTTGCAATGGCAGCATGCATGAGGGTGTGTCTGTGCACTCAGAGGGGAAATACAAAAGCCCTTATTTGGGTGAGTCTGCCAGAATCTACAGGGCTGCTGGTTTTTGCCTAGGGAGAAATGTGTATTATCAGGAGGCTAGGGTTGCATGGAAGTGGGAGAGAACTAGAAACAAAAAGGTATTATAATAGACAAAAGTACAAAAAAAAAAATAAAGTAAGAAATAAGACTGCTT